TTGTGGCCGGTTCTGGTGGGTTGTGACCGGTTCTAGTGGATTCTGGTGGATTGTGGTCGGTTTTCGTGGGTTTTAGTTGGTTCTAGTGGGTTGTATCCGGTTCTGGTTGGTTGTGGCCGGTTCTGGTGGGTTGTGGCCGGTTCTGGTGGGCTGTGACCGGTTCTAGTGGGCTGTGACCGGTTCTAGTGGGTTCTGATGGATTGTGGTTCGTTTTGGTGGATTGTGGTCGGTTTTGGTGGGTTTTGGTTGGTTCTGGTGGGTTGTAGTCGGTTCTGGTGGGTTGTGGTCGGTTGCCACCTTTTGTCGTCTTTATCAAAACTATCCAAACCAAACAGTTCAAGTTTACAATACTTCAGTACCTCCGCGGCCGGTGTAGGTAAGTTATGCTCCTAGTCCCTAGCTTCCGGCCACCGCTGACAGTAATACCTTCTTCTCCCCTGATGACATATTTCAACGTTTCAACCAACGGGGACGGTCGAAATAGCATCATACATCACTTACCTAGAGGTCTTTTTATGTACAATGAGAGTAGACATTTATCAATGTACCCTTGTGTATGGAATAATCTTCCCCTCTCCCTCAAGAATTTCTCTTCTAACTTTTAAACGTAAGCTAAAACCTTATCTACTATCAAATCCCAAAAATTATACTGGTATTACATTTATGGTTACAGCTAGGTTTTTATCATTTGTGTAATATTTCATGTGCGAATAAACAAAAGGAGTTCCGCGACCTCATACCTCTGCCAAATGATGTTAACCCTACCGGTGGATGAATCATGCATTTCCACTCATTGACATAGCAAATAAGAGTCTCATTTGCATGAATCCCATCAGTTGATCATATTCTTCACCCTTACCTTAAGAAAGAACGCTATACTAATGCCTCCTCATAAATTATGGAAATAAGCTCATGACTTGAACAAATTATGTTAAATCAGCTTCACTTAAATTCCAAATGCGGCAAGCATTACTTTACCAGAAGTTACCATTATGACATTATAGCAATTTCCTACTAATTATGCAAATTAGGTGCACATTTACATCATCAATATCTACCAATGATCCCTCATTCATAATTGCATATGTCAGAAGTGTTTCAAAGTCGGACGGGCAGACAAAGGGACAAATGCTACTGAAAACATACCCCTCTTGGCGAAGGTAACAAACAAACCAAATGGTCCCACAACGTCGTGTGATTAGATACCACCTTGTCCACGCTGTATCTGTGCACTTGATAAACGCATTCAGTATTCATACCGTACATTTGTATACATAGAAACGTGGGACGCTTAATGAGCTTTCTATATGTAAACAGTAATCAGTCTTAGTCTGTCTCTTTAACTATCTTTCAACTCTTGATTCTCAAGTTCCGAGAACACTATCCATTTAAAGTGGCAATTTGTACTGACTAGTATCCCTCGCAATCTAACCATAACCCTTCCGGTCCTTTCTTGTTTTTCTGTTGCCGTGCAGTAGCTTAAAGGAGTCGTAAACACTTTTAAAGTGTGTTTAAAGTTGGCGTTTATTGCTGCTTTAAGCAACTCCTATACGCGTGCGTAAAGATTATACTTTTAGTCACAATGTCGTTCTTTGATCTCTATTCAATATTCTGTACAGATAATACTTGAAATTTGTTACTTCTTTCAAGAACTTGAATTACCTGCAGAAATTTCTTCTTTTGGATAATCCCTCTGGTAAAATATAGCGCTGGCTTCGGGTATTCGAAAGTACGTGCAAAAATAGGGTGCACAGACGACTGTGCTGTAATTGAATATGCAGTTGACGTGTTCAATTTCTGAAATACTTGAAATTTGTTACTTCTTTCAAGAACTTGATTTACCTGCAGAAATTTCTTCCTTTTGGTAATCCTTTCGGTAAAATATAGCGCTAGCGTATGTCATTCGAAAGTACGTGCAGAAATAGGGTGCACAGACGACTGTGCTGTAATTGAATATGCAGTGAACATGGTTAATTTCTCGAAACACATGTACTTGAAATTTGTTACTTCGTTTCAAGAACTTGCAGAAATTTCTTCTTTTGGGTAATCCTTTTGGTAAAATATAGGGCTAACGTATATATGGCATTCGAAAGTACGTGCAAAAATAGGTTGCACAGACGAGTGTGCTGTAATTGAATATGCAGTGAACGTGTTCAATTTCTGGCTTGACTGAGTTATCCCATGCCTTATCGCCGTGAGCTAAGCGCCGGGGAAGGTCAGTTTTACAGATAACTTCGCGGAAAATTTCTTCCGCGCTGGGATGATAGAGAATTATGCGAGCCATCTGGACTTGACTGGCGCCTGTGGGAAATTGGCAGCAGACGAGGTAAAAAGGTAAATTCAAAGTCTAGAAAGTGAAGTCAGATGAAAGGGAAAATGAAAGACCGGTGGAAATATCAGGTGACTGCACTGGACGGTGTGTTGAAAGTTGACGTGCGAACATAGGAAAGTAAAATAGATTTTACCATTGTAAGAAGAAATGAACAAATTATTCAAGTCAATGGTTGATACAAGAGGGGAAAACTAAGAAAATGCAGCACTACAAGAAGAAAATATTTAAAGAAGAAGATTCGGTTCTGGTGGGTTGTGGTCGGTTCTGGTAAGTTTGGGTCGGTTCTGGCGGGTTGTGGTCGGTTCTGGTTGGTTTTGGGCGGTTCTGGTGGGTTGTGGCCAGTTCTGGTCTGTTTTGGTCGTTTCTGGTGGGCTGTGGTCGGTTCTGGTGGGTTGTGGTCGGTTCTGGTGGGTTGTGACCGGTTCTGGTGGATTGTAGCCAGTTCTGGTGGGCTGTGACCGGTTCTGGTTGGTTGTGTTGGTCGGTTCTGATGGGTTGTGGCCGGTTCTGGTGAGTTTTCATCTGGTCCCCTCCTCTCATGCTTACTTCAAGCACCTCCTACGACACGACATTATGAGACAAAAAGCACAATCCATAGTCATTTACAGCCACCTGCAGTCAAAGATACATTTAACTCGAGGACATCCGACCCCCCTCTTCGCCTTAAGTAGTCTGTCATCTTCTTGTCTCATTGAAAGACAATTCCTAAGAGATACAACTTGTCTGCTACAGATTAAAAGGTTATTATCTTCGAGGCTACCTTACTCGTCTAGGGAAAACAACCTGGTGAGGTCCCGGTCCGTAAGGAGTTTTTACACGTTTACAGTTCACTGAAAGTACCTCCTGTGGGATAGAATAGCAATGATTAACTAAGATTGCCTGTGTGAGTCCGATACACAAAATTGAAACGGCATATAGGGAAAACAATTCCAAGAAAGTAATTAAACTTCTAAATACGATTAAAGGCACTGAAAAGACGGTACGTTGGCCGTTTCAAAAGGATATCACATAACGACATGATGGATAGGATGGTCACGGGTTCGAGTCCCAAGGGAGGGATTGGAACATTGCCAATGTAAATTTCGCTGGTTTCTGTTAGAAATTGACTTTCATGTCGATGTGACATGACAAAGGACCGCATCATGCAAATGCATCAGTCGCGTTTGGAACCGCATTCTGCTCACGGCACGCCACCTAGCGGTAAAAGTAGCGAATGTCATCATTGCTCTGAAAAGGGTAGCAGAAGGCTGTTGTAGCTAGCCATAAACATGCTTCATCCAGAACAATAGTCAGCCACGCGTTCTAGGATATCCAGAACCGTGCCTGGAGCAAATCTACGATCTTGGATACTCCGAGATTGCCCAGAACCGTGCCTGGGGCACATCTATGTTCTTGGATACTCCGAGATTGTTCAGAACCGTGCCTGGGGCACATCTATGTTCTTGGATACTCTGAGATTGTCCAGAAACGTGCCTGGGGCAAATCTACGTGTTTGGATACTCTAAGATTGTCCAGATTCGTGCCTGGGGCAAGTCTATGTTCTCGGCCCAGAACCGTGCCTGGGGCACATCTATGTTCTTGGATACTCTGAGATTGTCCAGAACCGTGCCTGGGGCAAATCTACGTGTTTGGATACTCTAAGATTGTCCAGATTCGTGCCTGGGGCAAATCTATGTTCTTGGATACTCTGAAATTGTCCAGCACCGTGCTTGGGGCACATCTATGTTCTTGGATACTCTGAGATTGTCCAGAACCGTGCCTGGGGCAAGTCTATGTTCTTGGATACTTTTGATGCAGGCGACAGTGGTCGTTGAAAACCTTTGTGTTGGAATAAAGTTCAACGTTTTACTATAATGGCTACCAAGAAGTGTTGAATGGTAAATCAATTTGGTTATGTAACGTATGACTTTATTATCCAGATATATTCCCTGTGCATTCTATTCGTCACGTGTAATGTGTGTTCAGGCCACTACGCACGGCGCTGGTATATAATGACCACCTGCACCCACCAGTGTTGACAAATGTGCAGATAACTTTGGACATGACCTTCCAATCCCATACACTTGACATTGATAACTGAGTCAAGTAGCTTGGCACCTTCTATACCAAAATATGTAGAAACTAAATCGATAATTTATTATT